CTTTGAGAGGCGCCTCTGAGGCACCATTCGATTTAATACAATAATTTAAAATAAGCATTATTTAATTCCATAACAGTGCTCATTATAAACATAGCGAAAATGAGAATAGTGAAAATTATTAGTAGAGAAATAAAAGCCTCAAAAGAATTCATTTAACATTTTAATTAATACTTTAAAGCTGCTGTTTGCAAACAATAAAATTGTCTTCGAGTGCAAAGGGTTAATATACCTCGTATACTTCAAACTGAATCGAAGTTTCAGATAGTAGGTTAAAAATCATGAAATCGTACAAGGTCATAGTTCACTGATATCGGCCCCTTGCCATACGAGCCTGCCTCGTGACTCACAGTGCAAACGTGATAAATCTTACTTGTGTTATCGATACACGATTTGAAGTTTATGTTCAATAACAATTTGTATAATCAAGGATCTTTTTGTAGCAATAATTAGCTGTGAATGTCTAGAATGTCTGTTAAATAAATCGTAGTGTAAGTGGTTAATCTCCGGTTGATTCAATATGCAGACACGTATACCGCGGAAAAGAATGTACATGGAAGAGGAATACCGCGATAAATTCATAAAAAGCGGAGTATTTTTAGAGCCGTTCCGGTGTTGATCTCCCTTAAACGAGTAGCATAAATCAGGCTTTACCGAAGCTGCTTCCCTTATCTCCTGAAAATTTTAAGCCTTCCTCGAAGTGGCTCGGTCGGTTAACGTTAGCCTTATAACGAGGTCGGCACGAAATAATTAAATGCCTGTTTTGGTCGCGTTCACGATTCCGAGCGGAGCCGGCTCGCGCGAGCAGACGCCGCGCCGTGATTCCGATTCACATCGACAATTCTTCTACGAACGTAACGCTCGCGTACCCGCCTACAATTCCCTCCGCTTCCTCTGCTTATTGGAACTATGCTAAATACCGCCTAATGAATACATACGGGTACCTCTTTGATACAAAGCCCTCCCTCCTTCTCTTTCTCTGTTTTACATAAAGCGCCAGGCGAACTATTTGCCCTGTGGTCGACAGAATTTCAGCCTACGCAAGGATCTAATGAACCTTCGCCTCTTCCACGGTGTTCGCGTACACCGGTCGAGGGATCGGCTGCCGTTATATACCAGCCAGCCCCGCTAATTAATTAAAATCCTCTGCGAAAAATTCACTCGGTCCCGGACAATTCCGATAATTGTCCACCCAGACTCTCCAAATGTCTTTCTCTGGACGTTGCGCTGCGAATTTTACGACCTGAGCTGCGGAGTTTCGTTATAATGACACCGACTTTTCGCGAACAAACGTCGCGCGATCGTCCTCAAAGGATAATTAGCCGGTAGCTATCTGCGGAATGAAACGTGTATGAGGCATTCCGAAATTCCCACTCTCTTAATTCCTTTATATCTCAGATTGGTAGAGATCGCTAAACCCTCAGCCAGCTCCTTGCTTTCCTGCTTCCTTGCTTCCTACTTCCCTAAAGTCTTGTATTCCTACGTTCCTATATTTTCTACATACAAAGTAGAAAAGTATCCGGACACTTGCTTCTGTTACATAAAACATAGTTGAACTTTGTACGAAAGTACTAGGGCTATTATATCATTTGTAATAATTATTATTATCTTTTTTGAGGTAGCATTACCATTTTGAGGTAATTTGAGGTATCGTAATAGAATTAATTTTTAAGTACAAATTATACAATGTATACAGAAGTACAATATGGAACGCTTTCGATGCTAAAAAAAATCTCCACATATCCCTAAATCGCTACATATGAAATCTTGAAACACGACATCTCGCAGAAAAGTATCATCGATTTCAAGTACAAAATTGTATATTAATTGTGAACGAAGGAAGTAAAGATCGGCAAAGTACAGAAAGGAATCTCTAATTAATAGAATGCAGATTTATCCACGTATTAAAGTCGCGCTAGACACGCACCGAAATCGCATGGATGCGCCCTTAAGCCGCTTACGACCGCTTGTACAACGATGGAAACCACTTTTCGAGATAAGTTGTAGATCTCTAATCTCCTCTCTCGCTCTTTTTCGTTCGTTTCGCCGCAGGAATCTCCTTCTTGTCTCTTTCCGCCGTTAAACCGGCGCACCGGTCTCGGATTAAGATCCCTTCGTCGTCGACCGTTCGTCGAATATTTCGTACGTGGATTTTCTGCTATAGAGACTGTCCCGAACGTGTTACTCTATAAACAGTTAAGTTATAATCCAAACAGCTCACGAACGAAATAAAACATCTTATGAGTGAATGACAATTTAATCCTTAAATAATGTTGCAGTACATCTAATTCAAAATATATCATATTCACATGTAATATACATGTATGCATGAACACAAATGCAACATAGTTGTATTTTTAATAAATCATCGTTACCTAACAATAAAATATGTAACCAAACCAGATCTGATTATTTTCCTTACTTATACAAAAATGAAGTAATAAATTGAAAAAGGTAATAGTGTGTATGCTAGAGAACGTAATTTGCAACATGACGAGGTGTAAGTTCTACAAGCGGACTCTGGAAATATTTCTTATTGGATCGTTTCTGGCGAAAAGCATCGAGTACCGGTCGTAGAAAAAATCATTTAACAGACGGGCGTTCGACAAGTAGCGACACTTGTCGTGGTTTTTAATGACGTATCGCGGAAGACACAAAAGCACTGTTGATACGCCATACGTTGCGCCCGAGGAGAATGAACCCGCGGAAATGGAGAGTGCGGTGGTTTCATTTCCAACTGTGGAAAAAACTCCAGCCGTTAAGTAATTAATTTCGCGGCGCTGCGAGACTCGTTAAAAATTTGAACAACCGGCCAGCCATCGATCGCCGGAACACCTGAATTACTGAATTCTTTATTCTCTACCCTAGCTAACGCGTGCCTCTCGTATAATTCTAACTCGAAGCGAGCGGTAAAACGCGTAAACTCGTGGCGCTATACAAATCTAATTGCTGGCACCCGGAGTCAACGTTTCGATAGGAGAAAAAATGATTTAAAATAAGAAACCAGAAGGGAGTAATGCTCGCGCGTTGCGCGAATAGAGCACACGAATTGTAAACCCTTGTTGAAGAAATTGGTATAAAGTAATAGAGACAATTTTCACTCGACGTTACGAAAGAGCGAAATTTACGAGGGACGCGGAGAAAGCGTCTCGTAGCAGGATACGAGACGTCTGGGAAATGAATTCGCCGGTTGTCCGATGGCCAGGATGGCCCGTTAAGTCTTCTACGTGGCTCGAATGCGTTAGAGAACAGAAGTTGCACGGTAAGTGGTCCAACGATACCACGGTATACATTTTATGGCTGTATAGCAGTCGCGACGCCAACAATCTCGGAATAACGAGTCGGACTGGACGCAGCCGGTCCCCATTCCACCCTGTTACCTTCCTCGCCAACTCGAACGGTAATAGCGTTCCTTTAATAATCCGCATTAGTTAACGACCTTTTAAAGAGACCACGGATTCCGACTTGTTAATCTCTTGTTGGCGGAAATAACGACCGAAGCGGAACGGAAACGGACGATAGACGTTTATGTAGTCGAGAGTTAATACCACGGAAGCAGAAGAGGCAAATCCACCTACCGACTGCATTCAACGTGTGGTCGAAGCAGATTGGTGGAAGAGATCGGTAAAGTGGCCGGTGGTCTCGTGTTTCGTGAACTTTAATCAGACGGACCGAACTCTGCCGTATTTCGATGCTTCGTACTTAATGGAGCCTATCCCCGCTCGCGGACCAACTGCAAAATCCCTCCGAAACCGCAAGATAAAGTTCTATAGAGCATTGGCCACTGTTAGCTAACTAGGTGTTTGAATCCACTTTTTTTAACCTACTTTTCAGGTTAAGCGTTTATGGGGTGGAAACACCCCTTGTCGCTACTCTTCAGCAACGCTATTATCTCTATGTATTAATTATTAATACATTAATGCACTTCAGTGTATTACTCTCTTAGACTATGAAGAATTCTTCAATTTTTAATCAACATTCGACTCGCGACATCTTCGGAAATGTTCCCATTGTCCCATAGAAATATATATTCCGAAAAGTGCAATCTAACGTTCCCGCAATAGTCTCTAATGTAATTGAACTGGCATTACCAGATACGCGTTTAAACTACACGGTATACAGCTGGAGAACATCTTGAAATTGGTCAGGAGCACAGAGTGTCCGGTAGCTCGGTAAACTTTGATCAGTCGAGACCAAACTCCATGCGCGCCTAATCTCACTTACTTAATGATGTCTCTTCCCTTACATTCAACGCGACCAACATCGAAGTCGAAGTTGGTACTAGTTTCACGGATATCAATATCGTTCTAATGATTCGACATCCGTATCGACGATTTCAAGTACACTGTAACTAAACCTATTTCAACTTCTACCGCGATTCAAATTAACTTAATTTGAATTATTTGTCACACACCTTGCAATACAGTAGTAAATTAACCCTTTGAGGGATGACTCCCAGTCACCATTTTATTTAATACAATAATTTGAAATAAACATTTCTTAAACGATTCTATAATACGACACGTGAGATGTATAAACACAGTGAAACAAATAGTGGGAATTATTGGTAGAGAAATAATAATCTCAATAGAGTTCATTTAAGTTTGTAACTAAGTTTTAACCCTTAAATGCATGATTTTCTAATTTTACCAAAAGTTAACAAAATACCTTGAAAGCGGTTGATTTAAATTAAAACGAATAGATGACGCTATATAACAGATGTGGCATATCTACAACACTAATTGCAGGTTTCCTACATTTTGTATATAATTTATAAGATTAAAACTGGTATGTTGCATTTATACAACTATATGCATTTAAGGGTTAAAGTTGCTGTTTGCAAACAGTCAAATTACCTTCAAGTGCAAAGGGTTAATTCGAGATAAATATATTTGTCACATAGTCTCTTGCAATACAGGAGTAAATTAAGAAGCGCAAGTTAAAAATTATCGATTCGTATTCGAATACGAATAGAGAATATCGAGATAGGATAATTTACTCACTTTTGTTGATTATTGTTGGCAGTGGGCATAGGGGTTGGCACCCTCGGCGGCGGAACCGGTATCGCTTTTCTTCTTCCTCCACCTGTTTGATGTACGGTCGGAGTAACGCGTCCGGTCGGCGCTATCCGGCCAGCCGTTCGGGGTCTTTCTGTCCGTACTTCCATCGTGGTCGTTTCTGCCAAAGAAAAATCAAAAACGTCCCGTTGTCAGTCCGGCAAAGTATAAAAGATTCGCGGTTTCTTTCCCTCTGTCGACTGATTTTCGCGTGTACCCCGGCCGTTTTCTTTTTCCCTCGCTCTCTAAACGCTCTAAGTGCTACGTATTTAGGTTTTTGTAAATTGCATCGTTGAAACGCTGCTACAAAATTTTTAAAATTACAACAGCGGTTGAGAGCAAAATGTTGGTACATAATAGCTGTTTGTAAATTCCCGTCGTATGCAAGGCAGCAAATTTATTTAAAGGAAGAAAGTTACATCGTTACCGAGTCGGTGAGAGGAGAGCAAACACGAAATTTCTCTTCATTTTAATTCTCACCGGCTTTGTCGAATGCTACTCGATCTCTTTACACGGAGCTTTTAATTACTTTCTGAACAGCTTTGGTCGATAATTGCGAAACGAAACAACGGACCGTGCCCGGAGCGCTTTGTGTAACACTCGAGCGTAATACCATCGTCACCTTCGTAATCGTCGTTTTACTTAAACGTATTCATGTATCATTAATTCTCTCTTGTTGTTACATCCAAGCGGAGTTTTCCCATTCACCTGTGGGCCACGAGCAACAATGTAGCCATGTCCAATTATTCCTACCGCGAAGGAGGTAAAAACAAGCATTTTCCGTCGGGGCAAACTGCGAGCGTGGATTCCTAATTAAGCGCATGCCCTCGCTAATTTACCTCGATAAAAACGATAGAATCTAGTCTGCGTACTGCCGCTCGGGCATATAGCGAGAGACCGTCTCTATGTTGCAACAGCGACGAGAACACGCGCGTAGCATTTGCGTAACGGAATTTCAATTAATGATTCGCTCGCGTATAATACGTCAGACAGCCGCGAGCCATTTCAATGAGCGCTTTCAGAGCACGTCGCTACCGAAGTGACGCCAGCCTCTGCTCTCTTCGTCGTCTTTTTCCGACAACGTTCACCCCTTTCCTACGATTTTCCGCGTCCCTGCAACCGCGACTCTTTTCTTCCCTTATCTGGTCAAGGTAAGCCCGTTTAAATTTGCGCCTCCGGTTTGCGATTCGTTTCCCGAATACGTGGTTTTTAGCGCGTTGTTACTCCTTGCAACACCATTTGCTTTACAATAATTTCAAATAAATATTATTTGCATGTAGATATTTTTTTATTTACGAAGTAACCGGTGACATCAGATAAATCGTGAGTGAAATTGTCAGTCAATGCGATAAGTTACCTTATGACTTGTACATTGTAGTACTTTTAACTAATTAAAAAATTAATTTAACGAAACAATATTTAAATATTTAATTAATCTTTCAAAAAATTTCACACGCGTCTTTAACAGTTCGAAAGTAACATAAGACTGGTTACAAATTACATGAACATTCACGGCATTCATGCGTTTTTCAACGAACACTCATCACCACTTGCAACCCTCATTCACTCCGTTCACGCTTCAAGAGATAATTATGAACATTAACGGGTCATACAATTAATAAATAACCAATAAATGCTTACAATATAAAAGTTATAAGTTAAGAAAATAGTAAACACAGTAACGTGATGGTTCTTGGGATTACCGTATGAAAATAGCAAACACAGTACGAAGGTAAATACTTTTTCTTTACACAGTCGTCTTCGATGTCGAGAAGTCTCGGAACTGATTTTAGAAATATTGGAAGGAGAAAGTTCAATCCGTTGATGAAATATCGAAGCTAGAAAGGAAGTAACCCAAACAGAGATATTTTTAGATCACTTTCTATATTAGTTGGAAACTCGAGGAAAGAGGAAACTCCTCGAGAAGGGCCAGGGTTGAAACGCAGAAAACCGATAGGGGCAAGAAGGGAGTACGACGTTCGAAGGTACTCGCGGAGCTCCTCAACCGTGGCACGAAATCGCTAAGCCTCGAAAGATCCTCGAGAACAGAAGACGAGCAAGAAAAAAAGGGGTTAAACTTGTACGTTGCGCACTTTCGGAGCCCCTCGATGCGAAAAAAAAAGAAGTGCATGCGTTCGGGGAAACATAATGTATCGCGAGCAAGGGATGCTGAAGACGAGTCGAAAAAAAGGCAACTCCTTCAGAAAGCAAGCGGCGTGACGGATGCTCGCGGGCCCTCTTCTCTCGTGAGATCCATTCTTCGAAATTCGTTGCTTCCGCAAACTGATCACCCTGCCGGAACGAGTGGCGGAGCTTCGCGGAACTTTTCCCAAAGCTTTTTCCGCCGAGATGCGTATCGTTAAGAAGCCGGAAGATGTAAGCGTTACCTTTGTTCTCCTTTAGGCACAACCGGCGCGTGCAACGAGAGACGAGCATCGAACTTTGTCGTTCCGGTAGAAGAGTCCGAGAGATAGACAAATAACGAGATAACTAAACTAGTAACCCAAATACGCGCTTCGATCGTCGAACAACGGCTCGATTAATATCCGAGCACGCCGCGAATTGCTGCCAGTTAAACGTTAATGAGCCATAAATTCATGCAAGGCAAATCTTGTTCATCGAATTAGTGTCATCGTAGCTAAAGGAAAGGAAGCGGAGCTTCCGCGTTGCTCCACCAACGGGATATTCGAATCATGGTCGAATTAACTCGCATCAACGCGTGTCATAACTCCGATTTACGACTTGTCGTTTTCTGTTCACCACGATTTATGACACGAAAATAACTCGCTTCAAATCGAGCGAACAGGAAGACGCAAACAGGTGTGTCCGCTTCGAGACCTTGATTCCCTTCGAGTTTCGTCGCCCGAACAATCGGAATATCGAACTCGTGACAGGTGGCAATTCAACTGTCACGTCGATCCTATCGATCGCTTCGGCACGCTTCGATGAACTATACCACCGTCGGCACAATGAGCTCATTAAGCTTCAATACGAATCAATTACGCGATGCCAAATCGCTTCTGGCCTTTCGTTCTCCTTGCATTTTCACTCGTGAGAACATATTTACATTCATCGCTATTCGAAGATTCAGAGTGATAGGTTTATATTGGAATTACGGAGATGACAGCTTAGTAGAGATACATTATATTATTTCACGATGAAAACGTCTACGTTGAAGTAACGAGCAAGGGTGTAGAAGTACTCATCGCTGATCTCTTATATCGTGGCTCAGACATTGGACATGTCTATAAGCTCACTATAGTAGAATTAAAAGAAAAGATTTGAAAATGTTCAGGTGTGAATATTTCATCGGCAAAAGTCGAATGGTTCTCAGGAAAAAAGAAAGCCTACGCTGCAGCCGAGTGTACATTGTTTCCGCCGACAGTAATACGTCGCTTCATTTTTCCAGTGTTCCCCCGATTCCCTATCCAAGGGCGGGTTTGCCTGGTCTCTTCAGCTAGAACGCGTTTGTCGGCCCTCGAGTAGGCGTTATTGTGTTACGGGATGCGACAGCTTTCGAGATGGCTCTGTTCGCGTATCACGGATCCTGGGCAAACGTGATTATTTTTCGCAATTTGCTAAGCAGATGCCCCTATTGTGCGAATCTCAGCCACGGTAGGAGTTTGTTCTCTCTCCACCCTCGTTTCCACCCCTTTTCTCCTTTTCCTCGAGCCCTCGAGTCTCGATGCGTCGACCGTAGCGACAGGATTTTTTTCTTTTCACCTGTGTACACATCGGCGTGTTTCGCGTTTATTCGCGAACACACACGGCCAGAAGTCTCGGCACTTTTCTCTCTTGCTCTCATCTTGAGCGCGTCGACGCGTTCCCGTTGATACACGGAGGAAGCGCGCGAATCCACGCACGCCGGGGGCTGCATATTTTAACCAACTTGCCTACGCGTATTGTCTTTCCAACGTCCCCGTCTCGCCGCGTTCCTCCTCCGACAGAGAAATAATGATCGTACCCAACAGCAGCATATCCTGACTTCTCGGTCTATTCTTTGCGAGGCACGGAGCAAAGCGTCCGTGACAACAATGTTGCGAGCACGCTCGGAGATTGCGCGAACCGTGTCCTTTTTCTTGCTTCGATTGTGTGTTCCCAACCCCTCGCTCAAGGGTAGGGTTAACGCGGGAATCGCTGCGAGGCTTCTTCCAACGCGGTATCCTGTTTCTATTTACGCCGAAATGCTCCGTTGTTACGGTACGCAAGGGGTTCTCCCTTTCGAGCGACCGGATCATTTCGTCCGCCCGAGTTAGCCGGCTGCAATCGAACCTATCGACGCGAGACGACGCCGTGTTCGCTGATTAAAAACGATAATTTCGAGCCCGACTATTTTATCGAAACCCGATGATTTTAACCACAGACACGAATGCTGGGATTGACCGCTTTCGTGGACGAAGGGTTCATTCAAATCTTCGGTCACTTCATACTGCATTTATAATTTCGTGCAAGAGCGCAATGCAACTTTAGACCTCGATTAGATGTTAGGAACTTCTTTCTGACTGGATATTTTTATTTTAGCAGGCGAAGGCTTCGGTCACTTCATACTGCATTTATAATTTCGTGCAAGAGCGCAATGCAACTTTAGACCTCGATTTGACGTTAGGAACTTCTTTCTGACTGGATATTTTTATGTTAGTAGGCGAACGTTCCTTATGTGTTCGTGGCTATTGCAAGTATGATTTATTGCAAGTATGAGAACATTTAGTTATGACAAGTAGTTTGTCATCCAACACGAATTTCTTTCTATGTGTCATTGTAACTGAATATTGAATATTCAGTCTGTACAATATATTTGTAGCAGGAAATTATTAATAAACGTAAGAAAGCTTGGTACGTGTGCGTGTTCGCGATCTTGAGATATCCGTCTCTCTCCACGACGCCAGGATCTCGATTCTTTTCACCCTGTTTGCCTTTCTACGGGATGAATACGCGTCCCCTTCCACCGACAATATCGCGTTTTCTTCTCGACTTCGCGGCGCGATCGTTTCCTGAACCCATTTCCGCGACAGTAATTATTTTTACGGTATATTAAGTCGACGAGAAAGTTGCGCGTTATTGAAATTATGAAAATGGCGCAACTTGTATTCATCGTTTCACGCTTCCGTTCGTCCACAGAGG